TAGTCAGTGGGTCATGCCATTCTTAGCAAAACAAAAGTTAAATCCATCCCTTGACCAACTTTCTGCTGAAAGATTGGTTTATCATTCTTCCCTCTGTCCTGGTACATCCAACTAGCCCTTAACCTCGAGAAAAACTAAGATAGTGGCTAGGGGGATGTACCGAGGCAGGAGTGATAATACAATCGTTTAGCAGAAAATTGGTCAAGGGATTGACTTCATTATTGCTTTGACGTGTTGCAGCTTTATGCTAAGAATGGCAAGACTCACTATCTATGCTGACTGCTATTGTGGCGAACCATCTGGGAATGTACCAAGTCCATAGTCAGATGCTTGAAATTATCATAACTACTTGGGATAAAGTGTTTCGCCCTGACAACACGACTAAGTAGCAAAAAAGAAGTAAAACATCATCCATACAGCGAAATGAGACTGACTAAAATAGATGGCACACTAGTTTGAACTTCATATCTATCGACGGGCAAATAGCGAATATTTGGGTGGTACCGACTGGGTAGACACATGGAGCATCGATCAAAGCAGGGCTTAAGGGAGGGAGGGCAAAAAGTTGTCAGTCCTAGATAAAAAATAAGAGGTCTTCTATTGATCCCACTCTTGATTATAGCCCTCATACTTGACGTTCCGTCCCCAGACCAACCAATCAAATAAACGTTAGATCCTTGGAAAAGAAGTAAAATAGGAAAAATACTATGCTATTACGAAAAATACACAATATTTCAACATTGAACCTAAGCAAAGTAAGCAGTACCACAATATTTGTGGGTTGGCACACAAGAGACTAGAGCATAGAAACAGGATAGACACGGCGGCGACTATAGCTAGTGGGCTACCCGTAGGCCTGTCTTACAATAGACGTGGTCATGAGAATTACTCAGGCGCTTTAGCCTACAGCTATTCTCTCGGACGAAGAGTGTGGGAAATAACAACTCAAGTAGCACAGATGGGGTGGCAGGGGTCGAATGAAATACTTGAACCAGGGAGATAGGATACGGATCCTACGGGACATGCGGGAGACTGACAAGACCTAGGAAAGGAGGATCGCGTAACAATATGGCAGACTCTGATCAACATTACCAGCACAAAAAGGAAGGAGGGGGAGGGAGTGAGAAAGCCAGCGTGGAGTGTGGGGAGTTCTCGTGAAATCCGCTCAAAAGGGCATACCAGACCACATTTAAATAAGCAAGTAAAAAATTGTGATAGTAAGGGCGTAATATGAGGATATAGGATTAGTGATTAGCCCAAGGGGGAAGGAGAGATACCACAATTGTTTAGCAGACAATTGGTCAAAGGATCGGCTTCACTTGTCTCTGATGCGTAAGAGTGTTATGCTAAGACTGGCAAGACTCATTGACGATGTCGACTACGATGCCGGCGATGTGTCTGAGAATGTACCACGTCCACGGTCCCACTCTGGAAATTATCATGTATACAAGTGACTCAGGACTAGGTGCGTTCCTCTAAGTCTTCCTACTAAAAACCAAGTTGTGAAAACAAGGTCAAACAACTTCTATTCAACGAAAGGAGACTGCGACCACACAAAAGGCCATACCATCTGGGTTGCCATACCTACAATAGTTAAAAGTTGTCTGAAAGAATAAGGGGCCACCCTGTTTTATAGCGATCTCTTTTGTATAAGTGCGAATTATGTAATGTGAGCCGACATTGTCTAGGATGAAATATCCAATTGCACCTTAGTCTTATTGTATTTTAGCTCAGTCTAGCCCCATTGTTCTGCTTTTGAAGGGGTAACATACTTCACATTGTAGTTTTCGAGTAACTGGTGTCCTGTGGCAAGGCGTACAAACAAGGCATGTGTACCCGAGTCTCTTTTGCTCCATGCTACACGTTTGGGAAGCGCCAGACAACCGAGAGGTTTTGTTATTTAATAATTTCTGAAGCCAGAAAGTAAAGTTTAAAATGGCATTGTCGGAGCGCTTGTCTTCTGCGCCTAGGAGGGAAAATCAATGGACGCGGCACAATTATGACTCGCCGTGCGTGTAAGACAATGTTTTCTTTTGGGGCCGACTGCAGCTATCCTAAGCCGGGAAAGCTTTCCCTACGCTGAAGTCTGATCGGATCGATCGAGAGGGCTTGAGACCAAGACATAAGCCATATCTGGTTAGGCGAGATCGAGAGGGGGAAAAGGACAAATCAGAGTGAACGTGTTTGCGATTGTTCGATTATTTGAACTCAGAGGCAGACAAATCTGTGCCTCTGTGATGTGTGTGTATTTGACTTGGTGACAAGGGATGTAAAGGCTGACGAATGGAGGAGAGATCAGACGTGTGGCGTAATGTGTGCTCGATAAACTGGCCCAGACCTTTAAAGTGCTATTGGCGTACCTTTGATTTCGTGTAAGTACTTCGTAAATTGACCAAGCATATAGTCTTGGAAACATGATTGTAGATATATGTAGATAATTCACCCTAAAAATGAAAGTTATGCCAGCATCAATCTATTATGGGGGTGCATGAAACCCGATTTTTCTCCATACATTTGAATCGTGTTGACCACACTGAAAAATGTGATTTGGGTAAGTAAGAATTTCAGAGTCAAAGACTTTTCCATAGTTTGCAAGCCCTAAGTGGATATAGATGAAATTGGGAGATTAAGGTCCCGAGACTGAGATATAATTTTGTTTTGCAGTGGTAATAGCAGCAGCATAATCACACAAGGAAGTATAGTCTTGGATATATGCGGAATGCGCAGGCATAGGAAGAGGCGTTGGATTGCCTGGGACTCGGTCGATACCTTCTCATTGGATGGGGATGGCTGAAGAGGAGGATTTATAGAAATGCGACCATAACAGAGGCCACAACATCTTGGTCTTCATATAATCTAGGAGGATTTATGCTGCTGAATCCCAGAGGCAAGTCTACATCTAACCCGCTTGCTCTCCACCTCGCCAGAAATCAAATTGAAAATGCATGACAAAGTTGGATACTCGTAAATTTACAAGTATTCACGGGTATTTTGGCTCGTTCCTTCACAATTATCCAGTTTGGTCGGACAATTTTTTTGCAAAACCAACCCAGCCAACAACCCCGCTAGGTGAGAGGTAATTAAGTTTTCAGTCAGCCTAACCAAATATGTTGGCAACACTCAGAAAAGTCTTTAACTAAAAGCCATAACGACCATTCCTGCCCTTGAACAGTTGGGAAATGCCGAAACCAGCCTCTTCATCTAATAGAAGAATATCACGGACTTAAGACAATGTCTTTTCCAGTCTGGAGGAGCCTCGGGTTCGGCATGGATTATTTGGGAACTCTTGCTTCCGAACGTTGGTCCGAACATCACTGGGCGGGATTTTTTCTGCTCCATTCCAGAAATTGGAGTAATTAGCTGAAAATGGCTGACTTTCGGTCTAACCGTCTACAGGTCTCGAGAGTTGTATGCATACCCAACTCGACACTTCCTGCAATACACGAGAACCAAGCTTCTAATACCCCCCGCATGGCTAGCACATGGAAATGCTAAAAATCTGAATGCACACCTGTGCATAGAAGACACTGCCTCGGCCAAATAGTCACTTGTCGCCAGAGCGTTGGAGCCGAACCGATTTGTCTACAAGCCAGTGCGGCCTCGACGCGTCGGCCGTCTCAAATCCAGTGCCCTGGTTACCAGGTTAAATTGGGCTGGGCGATCCGTAGAGGGGTGGTGGCCGGAGTGAGCACTGGCTACGGCGGGAAAGGAGATGGGCCGGGGGTTGCAGAGCGCGTTTATGCTCATTGTCTCAGAGACACTGTCTAACACACGGTTATGCACCTGTTTAGATGGGACACACTCAGTGCGTACCCGAGTTGCCCGAACGGTGTGTATGATCGCGTGTGCATCATTGCCTGCTCGTGTCGGCCGATTAAGATGTAAACGCGTGCGAGGGGGATGGACACCACAATAGCCTGCTCTAGTGGGATAGTACCCTAGCTTGTGGGAACCCGGCCTGCCGTGTGGCGGATCATGATGCCCTGGTTACTGGGCTCATACTCGCTCTTAAAACGATCCATCTGTGCGGCTTAGCCTTGCTTTTATCTCCTTCCTTCCTTCTTTCTCACTTTCTCAGACATACACTGGCGCGCACACACGCACATGCATGCACATTCACATGAGCATAAGTCCATTATTCTCTCTAGTGAGCTTAAGGGAATGTCCAACGTCTTGTGTTTGTCTGAAGTTGGGTAGTTGAGGCCGGTAAAGGGAGAGGTAATTAGTCTGCGTTCATCTAAGTACACTTGGGATGACATGTGTAAGGCCTAAAACACTAACTTCGTTGGCATTTTGTGTTCCGGTAGTGAACCGACGCTCAGCAGGCACCCTTGTCTTTATCACCGTTTTTCATCTCTTTGTGACCGTTCCGTCAGGCCAAAAAAGGCCTTCTGAAAAGGGGAAGCGAAAGAAACTTGAACAGAGGCATATATTTCGTGTCGCCGAGACCACGAGAGATACTTGTCTTGACAACTAGGTCGTGACGACAAGGTGAAGGAATTGGGAGACCTCGTGACTAGCACGAGGGACAGTGAAGTCCGGATGGAGGCCGAGGGTACGAGGGATACGCGTTTATGTGCGTACGCTCTGACGGGGTGGGAGCGTGTCAAGCTTGATTTGAAGTGCACATTTTGCCCATTTGATGAGATTATTTGACCCAAAGAGCTGAAAATGCTATTCCCACATGCGCGACCTTCGTGTGGGCGAGTGGTGAAGCAGAGTCGCTCTGATCTGGCCTTGAAGTCAGGCCAAAAAATTATTTTATAGGCGCACTTCAAACTACTCTAACCGCCCATCACCCCTACCCCATTCTGCCCAGCAGACCATTTTGCGGAACAGCCTGTAAATACAAAAATCTGGCTTGTTCACAAGTCGGTCAGTGGTGGAATTGAGATGGTGCCAGGGTATGAAGCTTAGCACCCAGTCACAAGCTAGCAACAATAAGCGTCAAAAAACCATCGGCATGGGAGGCAAGAAGAGACAAATTTAAAAGGTTCTATGGCTAAGAAAGTAAATTGAAACTTTGACATCAATCATTTGCTATCGTATAGGTTGTCTAATAAAAGAATCTGGAAATGGTGTTCTCTGACTTGGCAACAGGAAAGCAGATAGACTATAGACAAATACCTTGGAAGATGCCCTGCTGCTACTCTGGGCGTATAAGTCGAAAACCAATGACCCATGTAGTTAATAATTCCAGTGTTTGGTTGTCGTCTACAAGCTTTTAAGCCTGTTTCTTGATTTAAGCTGTTAAATGTACATGTCCAACTTGAGAGATAGTGTCAGAGACCCGACTTTAAATTAGATATCAGAGATTCTTCTGAACACGGAAAATTGGCTTTAACGAATTTAGGCTGTCTGCTTTGTCCATAATGCACCCTTTTTCTTACTTAAAATAGCGAAACTATATGCACTTGGTGAATTCGAATAAAGAAGGGTTTTAGTAATTCTTTTTATCGTCTTGTAATAACGCAGCCCAAATTTCAGTCATTACACGAGATGTCTTGACTTTGAGGACCATTCATCAGTGCATCGATATCCCTTAACGCGCTACGAAGGTATTGAGCGTACACAGACAATTTCCTATTCTTTCCTTTTTCTTCAGTCGTGTGAGGAAAGTTTGTAATCCCCAAGCCTTGAATTGGGATTTTGACCCAGGTAACCTTAACTCTGCGCCGTAAGTAAGAGCTTCGCCATAACTCGGTATCACGACTCAGAATCTATGCCCTGTATATCTGGGTCATGGTTAAGTCGGTTTGACTTTCAAGTGC